GTTGTTACACCTAAAACCCAAAGGCTCTTTTAAGAGCCACCCACTTTGTCAAGGAGAGCTTGAGTCACTGTTTCACCAGCAGAAAGTAACTAGAGGCACCATTTTAAAACGAGCTTTGAATAGCCCTAGTCATGTTCTTTGTTCCTGGAGCTTAACACACAGTCAAGTATATTGTGTGATCATTAAAACCCATTTAATGAGGGCTTCATAATGCTGTGAATATACTAGGTGTTTTCTTGGCTATTAAGAACATGCATTGGTTAGATGGGCTAACTCTGAATAGGAAATGCAAAACTCCTCACTTCTGGGCCACGCACGTTTAGGTGAATCAACGTGAAATGTCTCCCTATGTGTCCTTTCCATTTCATATAGCTTGGAAGAGCTCGCGTCCTTATTCCCTTCATGCCTGAAACCCAGTGTGTTCTATGGCTGGTCTTTTATAGACAAACTAAACCGAAGGGTTTTTTTGTTTTAATACCAGATTTTATAGGGACAGGCTGAATGAATCATATCCTAAACCAACCTTTCTCTGCTTCTCCAGGAGGCGAGGGAGCTGTTCATTTCCCGATCTCCTCAGGTGGTTTGTTTCCCAGGTGGTTAACGATCTCCATTAAATCTGCCTTTCTAAAACCGGATTTGGGGGCTCGGAGACTGGAAAGGGGGCAGCTCGTTTGCCTGTGTTACAAGGCGAGGAGGGAGAGATTTCCCCTTTGCGACCATGTGGCCGCTCCGGTCTGGGTGTGGGAACTTCAACCATATCCACCCCGAGGAAACCACCCATCCCAGACCAGCTCTGGGCTCGCCCCAACAGAGAAATCTCAGCGAGAAGGCAAATCTTTGTGATCTCAGTCTGGCCACACCGAACTGTTCAATAAAACAGGAGTCAGGCTTACCCCAGATCACGAGATGGGCTTTAAAAATCATGAGATGATGTCAAAATAATAGAAAGCTTTTTGAGCCTTGCGGGTGCAGTATGTGTGTGTGTGTGTGTGTGTGTCACATTTTGAGGCTTACTAGGATAGTCAATGGCTCTTAGCCAGGCTGGGCAGGGATGGTGTCCCTTGTCTCTGTTTGCCAGAATCTGGAATGGGTGACAGGGGATGGATCACTTGATGATTCCCTGTTCTGTTCATTCCCTCTGGGGCACCCGGCATTGGCCACTGTTGGCAGACAGGACACTGGGCTACAGGGACCTTTGGCCTGACCCAGTCTGGCCGTTCTTATGTTCCTCCATACGCACAAAAGCTAGAAATTTATTTTTCTTTAAGAATGAAGGCTGAAATCATCCCATTCTCCCCCTGACTGCAGGAGCTGGAGTGGGGGGGGGGGGCTTTAAGGAACACAATCATTCTCACCAGACTCGTGACAAAATGCTCACGCGAGCTGACAAGTGTGTGTGGCCTCTCAAAGGTGGAAATTCAGCTCCCCGCAACACCCCCGAGTCTGGAGTCGCCCTAAGACCAGGGCCAAAGCACCAGTAAAATGCCCGTTTGCTAATGCACCAATAACGCCTTTGAAAGCAGGAAATCGATCACCCCCCTCCTCGGGAGGCACACAGAGAAAACGGGGAGCGGTTTGTGCTTAGCACTGTACAGTCCAGCTGGGAGCTGGGCCCCCGGGAGCCTCTTGGGGAAGGAAATGGGATGGATGTTTCTTTCCAAGTGTGCAATGGGTGAATGTTCAAAAGCGGGGGCTCTCCACAGGCACCCCAGTGCGGGGGGTGCAGGGACGGTGGCTCTCCGGCTTTGGGTGCTGGTCAGTGGTAAATAAACCCCCGCGTCCCCTTACTGCTTTTTGGGGGGTGTGAAGGGGGTTTGTCTCCCCACCCTGCTTGGAAAGTCTCGCTATACCCCGCTCGAGCGCCAAACTCCGCGGTTTGAATTTAAAATTACCCGCGTAATGTCCTGATTGGCTGGAGACTAAGGCCGCCGTCTCTCATTGGTGAGAGCCGGAAGCGTCCCTCTGACGGGGCGAGGGGAGGGGGGGACGCAAGCGGTGGAGCCAGTTCTCACTCAGGTCGGACCCCGTGCTATATAAACTCCTACAGGCCGCTGTTTGTTTCACACACGGGTGGTGGTAGTGATCTGTTTGCAGCATGTCTGGTCGCGGCAAGGGTGGAAAGGGGCTCGGTAAGGGAGGTGCTAAGAGGCACCGCAAAGTCTTGCGAGATAACATCCAGGGCATTACCAAGCCTGCGATCCGCCGCTTGGCTCGGCGCGGCGGGGTGAAGCGCATCTCGGGGCTGATCTATGAAGAGACCCGCGGGGTGCTGAAGGTTTTCCTGGAGAACGTGATCCGCGATGCGGTGACTTACACCGAGCACGCCAAGCGGAAAACTGTGACTGCTATGGATGTGGTCTACGCCCTGAAACGCCAGGGACGCACCCTGTACGGCTTCGGGGGCTGAGTCGGCTTTTAACCCAGAAAAACATCATTCATTTCTCTAAGGCCCTTTTAAGGGCCACCCACGTGTGCACAGAAAGAGCTGAGTTTGCTCAGGCTGGGAAGGCGAAGGGTCAAAGTGTTCTGGTGTTAGTGAGGGTACAGGGCTTGTGTTGTAAGCTAAGGGGCGGGCTGGCTGCTCGAAGGAGGGGCTCCTGCGTTTCTAGGTTTCTTTAAGTGCGGCAACACAACTAATGTTTTGTGACTACTTCCCCAGTAGCTTCTTCCTGGATGTTTTTCTGAGCCTGCTGCTTAATATTGACAATTCTCTGCACTAATTCACTCTACTCCTGCAAAACATTAGTCCCATGTGTGTGTAATAGGAGATTCCCCACTAATATCCAGGGCTTAGTTTGCAATGACAGGTGGTGTTAGTTTTATAACCGATGCGGTAAGGCCAGGGGTGCTGGGGCTCTGAACTGTTAGCGGTGCACATTAAGCACTGTTAACACCCCCTGGTACCATTGCAATGGGGAACAATTGTCTCCACTCAACAGGTGCTAAAGGTCTGTAGCTACCCTGTCCTTCCTCCTCTCTAGCGGCTCATTTGGTGCCAGAGCAAAGGGGGATTGGACCGGCATCTACTCCCCAGACATCCACGTTGTGCTGATTGGGATAAGCCTCCCTGTTGTCATATTGTTTTCGGGGACCTGGGCCAGCCACTAATCGTGCGGTGCCGCTGTCCCTAGCTTCGGGCGAGCTCGGTGGGCCGCTGAAGCAGAGTGGCGGCCTTGCGGGTCAGTTCTTGCCCGGCCCAGGAAATTCAGACTCTGCCTCTGGTTACGTTTGTGCTGCTATAAAATCTCTTCTCGAGGCAGCTTATGAGCTTTTTGCCCCAGCACCCAGGCCCTTTGGCTACTCCCGGAGCTCCCTTGGGTTTTCCAAACTCCCACCTGAGCTGCTATGGGGAGGCTGCTGTGCTGTGCTCTGCTCTGTTCCATCCCCTGGCTCCTCCACCAGGCGCTGGGGGAGCTCCCATGCCCCTGGGGGCCCAGGAAGGCTGCTGAATGGTGTGGTGCAATGGAGGGGAGTCTGTGACACCTGGAAGTGTAGGAAGGCCTTGGCCCCCTCCTGAGCCCCAGGCAGTACAGGCTCCCCAGGGTGAGGTTTGCACAGAATAAGCACCATTCTCCTGTCCCTAGAACTGAGCACCTAAATTTTCAGTAGAACCCAGGGGCAGGGGGCCAGGAGCCCAGACCTCCTAAATCCTGCATAAGTGAGTCCTGGGTTGGTGGGGGGACAGGATGGGAGAGGGGTGCCAATGGCTGATACATGAGAGCATCAAAAGTGCCCGTTGACCCGTAGGGTTGTTAGCGTGTTCACAAGTCAAACCCCCATTAGACGGTGAAGCTGAGCTGGCCTGGCCCTGCCCTGATTAAAAACATGACCCACAACTTCCCAGTGAAACAAAAAACTTTATTGGGGGGAGGGGTGAAAAACCAAGTGCGGCAGGAGGAGAAATTGGGAGCCAGAAACAGGTTCCCTCCTTGGGAGTAAATCATTTCACGGGACATCAAGGAGCATTTCAACAGAGCACCCGCACATCACTGTGCCGTTCCATAGGGCACACTGCTGATTTCTAGCAAATGTTCAAGGCCCCAGCAAAGGGTCATTTTTCTACAAGTGCCTCCAGGCAGCTGGTTTGCGGGGCGGGGGGCACAGTTGCAAAGACAGAGGGGGGAAACAAAGCATTGTCCGAAAAGCATCGTTTTTGTCATTGGCAGCAGGTGAAGCAGCCAGAAAGGAACGGTGGGCGTTTGATTAGCTGCAATACAGGTGTGAGGAACTGTCCTTTTGGAAGAATGGGACCTATTCACAGACTCAGGTTTGCCCCCAGCATCTTCCCCCTGCCTCTAGGGCCCAGCCTGGCCCTGTCTTTGGATGGATCCCCCTGCAGCACTATTGTGGGAGGCCTTTGCTAGTACCATACCCCCTACGCAACCTGCTGGCTGCACTGGGGCACCGGCTGCCCCCCACATTTAAACCCCACTGCCCCCCTCTCTCATGAACACGGTGCTAAAAATCTGGCAGCAGCTGACAGCCCAGGGCTCCTGATGCAACTACCCCAGGAGGGAACAGGCTTGCAAAACTCCCGCCCCCCTCACACATACAATAGAGATAGGGTTGACAAGAAAACAGTCATGGAGCAGGCTGATGTATCAGGGACAGCGAGGGAGAGAGAAAACGAGCTGCCGAGCAGGCAGATGAGACACTCCTAGAACAAGCTGATGATTGTAGAAAATCAGGGAAGAGGGGAGGAGATGAAATAAGCAGCCCCAGGCCCTAAATACTAATACAACACCCCCAGACCAGCTCCTCTCACCCCAAATACTAGCCCTTACCCAGAACGCCCCTGACCGGCCAGCTGGGGGACCCCGTGAGGCTATGTCTACCCTACAGCTTAGGTGGGTGTAACTTAAGTCGCTCAGGGGTGCGGAAAAACCACATGCACACACCTCGGGCGACATCAGTTACACCGACCTAAGCGCCGGTGTGGACCTCCCCGAGCTTCTCCCACCGACACAGCTACCGCCGCTCGTTGGGGGCGGATTCATTGAGAGCCCTCTCCCGCCGTCAGCTTCGAGCGGCTCCTGAAAATGGGCCCTGCCCAAAGCAAGCAAGACAGCGTGCAAAGAGGCGCAAGCAAGCGAAAGACAGAGGGCCTGGCGAGGAGAGAAAAAAGAAACATAAGCGCAGAATTCACGTCCCCCGCAGATTTTCTTTTCCCCGCCCCGTAGAATAATCAAAATCCAAAGTGCCCCCACTCTCGCCACAACTGGCTGCTCCAGCGGTGAGCCGGCTGCCCTCGCTTCTGGCACCACAGCAGCCCCTGGTGAGCAAAAGGTGTCATTGCAGCGCCTCCCCGGCAGAATCGATTATTCTACGGGGCGGGGGGAAAGAAAATCTGCAGGGGACATGAATTCTGTGCTTCTGTTTCTTTTGTGAAAAAGCCAGGGGGGACGACCCTCCCACTTCTAAAAGTGTGTGTGGGGGGGATTCCCTGCCCTGCCTTCAGGTTCCGGCGGCGAGCGTGCGGCCAGGGGAGAGACGGAGAGAGAGAAAGCGAGCACGACAAGGCGAGAGAGGCGGGATGAGCAAACGGGCCGAGCAAGAGCGAGCGAAAGAGAAAGCGAACGAGCGGAGAAACAGAGCGAGCGAGCATGCAGCAGGCGGGTGAGCAAAGGGGCAAGCAAGAGAGGGCGCAACAGCAGAGAAAGAGAGCAAACCGGAGCAGAGAGAGAGCGAGAGACAGCTGATGGCAAGTCAAGTCAAGAGCAAGCAGAGGCGAGCGCACGCGAGCAGCCAGCGAGGGAAGAGACAGCAGCAAGCAGAGGAGAGCAAGCGAGCACTTGAGCAAAGGAGCCAGCGAGCGACTGACAAGCAAGCAAGAGAGAACAAGCGCGTGCAGCCGGGCAAGCAAACAGCGGAGCAGGAGCCAGAGAGCGAGAAGCCAGGCTGGCAAAGGCGTGAGCGAAAGGGGTGAGGCCAGGGGGAAGTAAAAGGCGGAGCAGGGGGGAGAGAGAGAACGTGGCAGGAGAGAGCATCTGAGCAGCCCAGCAAGCGCAAGGAAGAGGAAGCGAGATCAAGGCCGGGCTACATCACCCCGAGCGACATGACAGGCCGATGTAAGCGCCGGTGGGGCCAGCGCTGTGTGGCCAGAAACGAGACAGATCGGCAGGGTGAGCAAAGGCGGGGGGGGGGAGGGCAGAGCCAAGCGAGCAAGAGACAGGCTGGACGAGCAAGAAACGGGCGTGTCGGGGCAAGCGAGCCGGCGCGGGACAGGGACTGGAGCAGAGGGGCGCGCCGGGGGCGAGGTTGTGTGGCCAGCGCTGGGACGAGAAGCCAGGAGAGAGCAGGGCTCAGCGAGCGAGCGCCTGCAGCTGGGCGAGCAAAAGAAACAGGCGAGCAAGGTGGGGGGGGGCGAACGGGCCGGAGCTAAAGAGAGAGAGAGCTAGCGCAAGCCGCCGGGCGAGCGAAGGGGAGAAAGACCCCGAGCCACGTCAGAGCAGACAGAGGGGTCCCTGCATCGCCCCCCTCCCTTGCCTTTGCCGGAGGGTCTGTCTGTGACACACACACACACACACGCTGGAGGGCGACCGGGGCAGCTTGGGTGAGGGGGGACCCTGCATCTCACACACCCCCATCCCCTCACAAGCTGGGTCCTTCTCCCGGGTGGCACAGGGCAGCGGGGGCTGCACCCGCCCGCAGGCACCAAGCCAGGCCTGGGCGAAGCCGCTGGGGGGTTGGCCTCGCTGTAGCCCCGGGGCCCCGCAGCCCTGCCAGGAACCAGCAGTGGGAGGGAGGGAGACAGACACACAGCACGAGAGAGACAGAGCGTGAAAGCGAAAGGCCGTAGAGCAGAGCCGAGATCAGTGCTTTATTACGGCACAAGAAAACGGGGCCAGGAGAGAGGCTTTGGCAGTTGAGTGCTTTCCCTGAGAGACTGCGCTGGGGCGAGGCCTGGCTCGGGCGCCGGGAGAAACCCTGAAATCCGCCACGGTTCAAACCTCTCGCCGCTCAACCTGCTTTCAACGCGACCCCGGCCCGGGCCAGCACATGGGCCAGGCCCCCAGCCTAGTGTTTGCTGAACACAAAAGACCAGTGCGGCGCTCAAAGAGCGCAGGACGCATGCAGGACACAGGAGCGGGGGAGAAAGCTGCAGCGAAATGGAGCGAGGCGGGGTAGGGAGCTGAGAGAGACGGGCGCTAGTTGGAAAAGGAATTCAGTCAACGTCGGGTCCCTGAGCCCAGGGCGAGATGCTGGGAGATTCAGTCTCACCTTCCCTGCGTAGCGGCTGCCTGAGGCCTCTGGCCGCGATCCCGGGCCCTGACCCTTGGGAACAGCCCCAGGTTTAGAATTTCCCCGGTTTTTCTTTTTTCCGTGGCAGTGGCTTTCAACCGGGGGGGTACGCGGACGTCTTCCGGGGGGACGTCAACTCATCTAGATAGTTGTCCAGTTTTACAACAGGCGACATAAAAGGCCCCAGCCAAATCATTCCAATTTCATACAGACAAGGCCTGGTTTGGCTGCTCGAGAGACGATATTCTCCAGTAACGTCCCGTGTGGATTCACACGTCTGTATTAGACACGCGTTTGCTGTCATTTACTCATGCGTGCAAGCCAGGGCTAAAATTCTCAGGGAGTATTTCCCTCCCCCCAACGCCTCCCGCGCCCCAACATGCTATAAAAACTCCAGGGGGGTTGGAAAATATTGCCCAGAGCTCCGCTCCGGACGGCAGCGGCTGAATTTAAGCCCTGGTGCGAGCGCATTCATGAGGTTGACGTCGTTTTTAAGAGGGGTGAACCGTGGGGGGAGGCAAGACAGAAGAGAGTCCTGAACGTCTGGGACGGTTGGGAAAGACCAAACCCCCCTTTCCCGAGCCCCACTCGGTGACCCCTTTACGGCCCCATCCTGCCCCGGGTGTGACGCAGGCATCGGATATTAAACACTGGCCAAATTCACCCTCATCTCCACTGCCTGGGGGGAGCAGCGCTCCCCTCTCTGCATGTACCACCCCATTGTCTCTAGGGCCAGGGGACCGGGGGCCAGGCAGGATCTGGGGTAACAGGACACTGGGGCCGGGTAGAGTTCCCCGGGGAGATTCTGGGTAACAGGACGCTGGGACCAGGCGGGGGGGCCCCCCAGCAGATTCTGGATAACACGGTGCTGGTGCCAGTTGGGGTTCCCCCCAGGGGATTCTGGGTAACGGGTCTGGGGTGCTAGGACTGGGTGTCCCGACCCGTCCGGGACACTCTGTGTTGGGAGCAGGGAACTCGATGGAACGTGCCCGTCGCTATCCACACCGAGAGCTCAGAGCCCACTGCCCAGGCCCCTTCCCGTCACGGCCGCCGGCCCTCGGTTCCTCAGTACGGCGTGAAGCGGTTGTACCCTCCGCGGTACAGGCTGGCCTGCCGGGGCGGAGAAGGTGCCATTAGCATCAGCTGCTCAGCGGGGTGGGGCAGAAGGGGGCACCGACCGGGCATGGGTGTGGTGAGAGAGGGAGGGGGCACCGGCAGGGCAGAGTGTGTGTGGGCGGGGGCTGCCTAGCAGGGTCTGGGGGGGGGGTGTCTCCCAGATGGGATTGGGGTTCTGGGCAGGGTGCGGGAGGCCGCCAGGCTGGGCTTAAGGGTGTGAGCGGATCTGCCCAGGCAACCGCCTCGGTCCATAAGCAGAGCCCCATCCCCGGAAAGGACCGGTCTGTCGGCTGGGGGCCGTGTTGAGGGAGACCTTCTGCCAGGGAGGAGCAGGGCCACGCGTGAGGCAGGGAGAGGGCGAGGGGGCCGGAACGGGGTGAGGCGGGGAGAGAATCGGGGAACGGGGCGGGCCCGACACGGGCCGGGGAGTCCCGCCGGCTGCTGCTCACCATGGCCCCGACGCCATAGGCTGGAGTGACGGCGTGGTGGTAAGGATCCGCCGTGGTGTAGATCCGGCCGTACCTGGGGGAGCAGAGCAGAGACTGGTGTTAGGGTGTGAACACTGTTTGCACGCGCAGGTGCACACACACATACACAGCCAGCTGTGCGAGGAGGAGCTGGTAGCACCGGTGCCAGAACTGGCAGGGACATGCCCCCCCCACACACTTTTAAAAATGGGCCCCCCACTTTTTAACAAAAGAAACATAAGCGCAGCATTCATGTCCCCTGCCGATTATTTCCCAACCCCGCAGAATAATTGATTCTCCCGGGGAGGCGCTGCCGTTACACCTTTAGCCCAGCAGGGGCTGCTGTGGTGCCAGAAGAGAGGGCAGCCGGCTCACCGCCAGGGAAGCCAGCCGGGGACAGGAAGGGGGTGCTCTGGCCTTGGGCAGTCCTCCCCCCCCACTTCTACAGCGCCCTAGGCTGGTATTCCCCTCGCCCCGACACTTACCCGTCGGTGTACGCCGCTGCCGTTGCCGCCGCCCCAGGGGGTTGTGCCACACGGTAAGCTGCATAGCCCTGAAACAGCCAGGAAGGGGCGTGAACCCGCGGACAGCCCCTGCATCCTACACCCCCCCACCCACGATACCCTCCGAGGGCAAAGCATGGTGGGTGGGGCAGCTTCCCTAATCGCTCCTGTTCCACAATGAAGGACCAGGGCTCGGTCCGCCAGCTCATTCCCAGGGAGCGGACATCTCCGTGCGCACTCAAGGGAGGAAAGAGGCACCGAGGGCACTAATGGGGGGGGCGGTCTCAGGCTGTCATCCCCCCCTTTCCTCCCTCTGAGGCTGAGACAGACGGGGGGCTGGGGCAGCGCTCACAGGGCAGGGGAGAAACGCTTTGACCCCCACGCCTCTTCTGCCCCGGCCCCTGCAGATTCCCAAACCCCAGCCCCATACGCTGGCACAACCCTCCCTCCCCCTCACACACAGCTCCCCGGAGTGTGGGGCAGGGATTCAGGAGCCCGGGATGCTCCCACAGCAGCCCAGAGAGACAGGGACCCAGCGGGTGGGGGAGACGTGCCAGGCACTGGTGTAGCCCAGATATACCCGCCCACACACACACACACACCACGGCCACCGGAGCGCCAGAGACTTACATAGACATCGGTGCCATACAGCCCATCCGGGTACACCACACTGTGGGGAAAGGAGAAGCGTCAGCTCCGGCCGTAAGCCCCCCACCCGCACTGACACCACCACCACCACCTCTGCCCCATCCACGTCCCTGCCCCAGATCCAGCTCCTCCGGCCGCGGGGTGCACAGAAAGTGCCCCTCCAAAAGCGGCCAAAGTTTTATTCCGATGTCCCCTCCGCCCTCCCGACCACCAGTATCAACGCCCCCTCACCTCCCCCACTGGTTCCCGCCCCCCGCGGGCTCACCTCCCGTAGGCAGGGACGGGCGACGGGGCGGGAGCTGCCCGGATCGGGCTGTAGATGGCTCGGCCACGGCCCCGCAGGCCCCCGCGATAGGCCAGCGCCGCCGGGGCCACCATCGGGTAGGGGATGGTGGCCACTGGGGACAGAGCAGAGGGTCAGCACCACAGCGTGAGAGTGGGGGCGGGGGGGATATAAGGGGAGAATGGGGGATGGGAAAGGGACGGGGCATGGGCAGTGGGTATAATAGGCCAGGGGAGGGTTGGGGCCCCACCCACGCTCTGCCCTGAGCCCCTACCCTTGCTCCCCTCTCCCCCAAAACTGGCGGGGGCTCAGGGGTCGGGCTGGTGCTCGGGCCAGCCACCGGCTGTGGTGGGGGGTGGAGGGGGCTCAGGGCTCCGGCCGGGGGTGGGTGGGATGTAGGGGCGGGGCTTCAGGCTTAAAGGGGGAGACCGGGGGGGCTAGCGTCCCTGAAAGGGGGATTCACCCGCCGCCCGTGATGGGGGGGTGATGGCGAAGCAGGAGACATGGTGGGGGCAGGGACAGGAGAAGATCCTTGTGGGGCCGGACGGGAGAGGGGGATGGAGATGCGGGCGGGGGGCACAGGCCTGGGGAGACACAACAGCAGGAGGGAGGGAGGAAAAGTCCCACCTGTGTAGAGGTCGGGGGCGTAGACAGTGCCAACCAAGGGGTTGATCTTCCAACCTAGCCGCCGAGAGAGAAGGGGGAGCATCAGACCGGACGGGGGGGGCCCCAGCCCCCCTTCCCTCCCCAGCTCAGCCCAGGGCACCGGTCTCTCCCCACAGACCCGGCCCGGGGCACATCAGAGACAGCTGTCTGCCCGGCTGTCACGGGACGGGGGGGTCCCTGTCCCCTGGCGCCAGCAGCAGGAGGGGTCTGCAACGTGGCCGAGTGGGGGCCCTGCCAGGAGGGGGGGGGAGCCACACCTCCCGCCCCCGCCCCCTTGTACCGTTCACCGCAGGCGCTGCCGGAGGCTTCTTGGTGACCACACGGGCCGTGGCGTTGTTCACCTGCGGGGGGGAGGGAGGGAGAGGTGAGTGAGTCCGGGGTCATGGCAAAGCCGGTACCCCCCACCACCCCTACCGCCATGGGGCTGAGAGCCAAGACACCGAAGCCCGCCCCTGTGCCAGCTCCCCCCGCCCCCCACTAGCCAGGCACAGAGCAAAGCTACCCCCCGCCCCAGTGAAACCACCTGGGTTCCCCCCGTTCCCCGTCCCGCCATGGGGCACTGACCTCAATTTTCCTGCCCTCCACAACGGTGCTGTTTAGCTTCTCTCGCGCCTGGTCCGCATCCTGGCTGCTGTCGAAGGTCACGAAGCCAAAACCCTGCAGGCCGGGGAGAGGCCGGGGAGGGATGAGGCTGCGGCTGGCTGGGGAGAGCGGGGGGCTACGGGGGGGGTGTGGGGGGGACACACAAGGGGTCATGCAGCTGCCCTGGCCAGGCCCCGCTGGGGGCTTTTAAACCCTGCCAGGAGCCCCGCTTTCATCCCCCTTGGGCTCGAGGGGCTCCCACCCCACACGGCTCCTCCTCCGCCCCAGGGTGTGTCTAGTCCCCAGCGTTCACACACATACACACTCACGCACACACCCTCACACTCACACACTCTAACACTCACGCACACACACACAAACACACACACTCACACACAAGCACACTCTCACGCACGCACACACATGCACACACACTCTCTCACACACACACACAAGCACAAACACTCGCACACAAACACACACACACTCTCACACACACACACGCAGTGTCCCTCCCTGCCCCACGTCCCGGTTCGTGCCCCTCTGGGCCCTCCCGCTCAGCGCTTCCGCACCTTGGAGCCGCGTTCGTTGAAGATGATTTCCACGTCTAGGATCTTCCCGAATTGCTTGAAAAGGGCGGGGGGAGGGGGACAAGACAGGAATCAGACACAACCCAGTGGGGCCCGACAGATCGCGGGTCCCTAGAAGGGCCCTCGGTGTGACACACACAAACACACCATGGGTGCTACACAACACCCCTCCCCCAGGCCATCTGGGCCACAGGTGGTACCTTGTCCCCCCATCACCACGGTGCTCACACACACACACACACACACCATGTGTGCTACACAACACCCCACCCCAAGGCCGTCTGGGCCACAGGTGGTACCTTGTCCCCCCGTCACCACGGGGCTCACACACACACACCATCTCCCAACCCCCTAGGCCGTGAGCTCTACCCCCCCCCACGTGGGACTCACCCCAAACATCTGCCGCAGGTCGGGGTCACGGAAGCGGAAGGGGATGTTGGAGACGTGTAACCGCTTGGGCTGGGATTTGCTGTCTTCGCTCTCTGCCTCCTGGCCATCTGGGGTGAGAGCGGCCGCAGGACTCTCCTCGGCTGGCTGGAGGGAACCCCAAGAGATAAACCGGACAGAGCTGGGGCAAAGAGACGCTGGGATCCCCTGCTTACCCCCATTGGAGCCCCAGTATCCCATTACACCTCCCCACCAAGATTCCCTGATATCCCCCTCCCCCAGAATTCCCTGTTAACCCCCACAATGGGATCCCATAAGAGCGGCCATACTAGGTCAGACCAATGGTCCATCTAGCCCAGTATCCTGTCTTCCGACAGTGGCCAATGCCAGGCGCCCCAGAGGGAATGAACAGAACAGGGAATCGTCAAGTGATCCATCCCCTGTCGCCCATTCCCAGCTTCTGGCAGTCAGAGGTTTAGGGACCCCCAGAGCATGGGGTTACGTCCCTGACCTTCTTGGCTAATAGCCATTGATGGACCGATCCCCCGTGAATTTATCTCGTTCCTTTTTTTTTTAACCCAGTTCTACTTTTGGCCTTCCCAACATCCCCTGGCGAGGAGTTCCACAGGTTGATGGTGCGCTGTGTGAAGAAATACTTCCTTAGGTTTATTTTAAACCTGCTGCTTATTAATTACACTGGGTAACCCCTGGCTCTGGTGTTATCTGAAGCGGCAATAACATTTCCCTAGTCCCTTTCTCCACGCCAGTCATGATTTTAGCCCCTCCTCAGGCATCTCTTTTCTAGGTTGAACAGTCACGGGCTTTTTAGTCTCTCCTTGTGTGGAAGCAGTTCTGTACCCTTCGTCATTTTTGTTGCCCTTTGCTGTACTTTTTCCAATTCTAATCTATCTTTTTCGAGATGGGGCGACCAGAACGGCACGCAGTATTCAAGGAGTGAGCACAGCGTGGCTTTATATGGGGGCATTATGATCTTTTCTGTCTTATTATCTATCCATCTCCGCATGGTTTCTAACATTGTTAGAATTGATCTTTTTTGACGGCCGCTGCACATTGAGTGGATGTTTTCAGAGAAACTATCCGCAATGACTCCCAGATCTCTCTCTTGAGTGGCAACAGCTAATTTAGACCCCAGCATTTTGAATGTGGAGTCGGGATTATATTTCCCTTTACAAAAGCCGCGTTGACTCTTCCCCACCGTATCGTGTTCATCTGTGCGTCTGATCATTCTGTTCTTTACTAGAGTTTTTTACCAATTTGCTACTGAAGTCAGGCTTAACGGCCTGTCATTGCCGGGATCACCTCTGCAGCCTTTTTAAAAAATCAGAGTTACATCAGTCATCCGCCAGGCACCTGGCCCAGAGGCTGATTTAAGCGATAGGTTACAGACGACAGTTAGTCGTTCTGCAATTTCACATTGGAGTTCCTTCAGAACTCTTGGGTGAATCCCATCTCCTCCTGGTGACTTGTTACTGTTTAGTGTATCATTTTTTTCCAAAACCTAGCGGAGGTTTTGGAAAAAAACACCTCAATCTGGGACAGTTCCTCAGATCTGTCCCCTAAAAAGAATGGCTCAGGTGTGGGAATCTCCCTCACACCCTCTGCAGTGAAGACCGACACAAAGAATTCATTTAGCTTCTCCACAATGACCTTATCGTCCTTGAGTGCTCCCTTAGCACATTGACCGGCCAGTGGCTCCACGGATTATTTGTCAGGCTTCCTGCCGCTGATGTACTTAAAAAAAAAATTTTGCTGTTAGTTTTTGTGTCTTTTACTAGCTGCTCTTCGCATTCTTTTTTGGCCGCCCTAATTATACTTCTGCGGTTGACTTGCCTGAGTTGATGCTCCTTTCTATTTTCCTCAGTAGAATTTGACTTCTAATTTTTAAAAGATGTCCTCTCATCTCTAACCACACCTCAGTTGTTTAGCTATGGGCACAGGTTTTGGGAGAGGGGGTTTGTGGTCCTCTTACCTTTTTTTTTCTCTCTTAATTTGGGGCATACATATAGTCGGAGCCTCTCTTATGGGGATTTTAAAAAGTGTCCATGCAGTTTGCAGGCATTTCACTTTTGTGAGGCCCCTCCCCCCCTTTGCCAGCACACCAGGATCTCCTGCCATCTCCCTTTTACACCTCTCCTCACTGATATTCCCCTCCCACCCGTGTCTTGTGGCACCTCTGCGCCTTCACCATCTCACTTGCAGATTCAGTGATTCACGCCCGTGTCCCTTCAGAGAGTCAGTTCTGGGGGGAACAACCCCACCCCCACTCCGCTCAGTATGGGGGCGGTGCTGAGCCACTGAAACCTGCTGGGGGTGTCCCCCCTCCCTCCCGTCCCCTGCAGCATTGTGGGTGAACCAGGATCCAAGGGCCTGAAGAACTGCCACAGCCTGGGAGACGGGCCCCGTCAACGGTATCGATGCTGGCCGGGACCGAGACAGCAGCTCTGGCTCCCGTACCAGCTCCCGTACCAGCCGGGGCAGGGGATCCAGGGAGATTCAGTGCCGAGAGCCAGGTGTGAGCCGTTGCTGGGCACAAGATGCTGAGCCGTCGGGAAGCAGGCACGAACGCACCCAGAGGTCCTGGGCCGTCGGGTTAGCACACGCTGGCACAAGCAAGGCAGTTAGTGACGAGAAGCAGGGGGGTTTAGTGGGGGAGAGGGGGCCAGGACGGGCTTTTCCACCGCGCTAGGAGCTGAAGGAATCCCGCCCCTCCCACAGGGACGGACGCTCTCTCCTCTGTCCATGCAGACAGCTCAGCTCAGCCCAAGGCCTCAGATCTCAGACATCCTCCAATGCACGGGCCAAGATGCCACATCCGGGGTCCGCCCGCCCACCCACCGGGAGGGTGTCGCCCACGGCACGGAGCACAGCCACCAGGTCAGAAGGCGTGAAACCGGTTAACCCGGCAAGAGAGATGGGGTTGAACTTGTCTTTAACTTCTCTCTGCGGCCTCTCAGGAGGGTCAGGCATGTGCATTCACATGTGTGTGTGTGGGGGGGGGTGCGCACATGTCCATGTACCAGCCCAGGCGTGGGGCTGCGTTAGGGTGACCAGACAGCAAGTGTGAAAAATCAGGACGGGCGTGGGGGGTAATAGGAGCCTATATAAGAAAAAGCCCCAAATATCAGGACTGTCCCTATAAAATCAGGACATCTGGTCACCCTAGGCTGCGTGCAAACTGTGTGGGTGCCTGTGGGGGGCGGGGTTGGAGGCTCACGCAGCAGGGGTGTGTGCAGTGCGAACGCCCCCGTGCATAGGAGTGAAGAGTGGGTGTGCGCCCTCAGCTCACGCGCGGGAGGGGGAGGGGCGTGACTGTATGTGAAGTGTCGGTGCGTGCACGTGCCAGGCTGGCGCGTGCGGCCTCCGTGCAGTGTGCGGGGGCGTGCCATACACCAGATGGAGGTGCAAGGGGGGGGTATGTGTGATACGCTCACGCCAGCGTGCGTGTGCATGATTGTTTGAAACGTCCCTTTCCCTCGGCCGCGTGAACAGTCAGATACGCGGCAGCCACACCCGATGCTCTGCCCTGGGGTTCCCAGCGGCTCAGAGCAAGGGGGTTCACCCGAGCAGCTTCCCTCTCACTAGCTATGTCCCCTTCCCCCCGCCCCCCGCCTCCAGCCCTCCCCCAACTCTCCACGGACCGGCCACCTAGCCCTGGAGCCGCTCCGCTCTTAAAGACAAGTTCAACCGGGATCACCCCCGCCGAAGCCCAGGGACGGTATCCAGCCGGGGGGTGGGTGGGGGTGGTGAGGGGTGCAGAGAGAAACTGAGGCAGGCAGGTGCGGCGCCAGGGGGGTGAGTAGGGGTGATCGAGGCGGATCACGGATTAATGCTACTAGGCCCGAGAAACGTGACGGATTCCAAGATGCCTGGGACAAAAACCTGCTTTTGCCGGGAGATCCGCCAGCGCCGCTGCCAACGCCCCGGGGGGGCCCTAGCCGGAGAGGGGGGGAAGAGACAGAGTCATTCGCCGCATCGCTAGGAGCCAAGAGGCGTCAGATCCGGCGGCCGCCGCGGCCGGTGGGAAGAGAGGCCCTCGGAGAAGGAACCCCCCGCCAGCCACCACCCACACACGCTCCTCCAGCATTCGCCGCGCTCTCTCTTCGCCGGGCTAGGAAGTTTGGCGGGCGTGGCTCGGGGGGGTCACAGGTCTCGAGGGGGGACCAGCGGGCAGGAGGGGAACGCTCGGCTGCAGAGTTAGGTCGACGTCAGGCAGCTGACATCGACCTAATTACGTCAATGTCCACACTCCGGCCTTGGTCCCACCCGAGGGCCCTGGAGAGCCACGCCCCACCTCTTTCCCCTAGGCCCTGCCCCCCCGAGGCCCCTCCCCTTCCCCCCAAGGGCCTGCCCCCCCCTTCTTCTCCCGGAGGCCCCAGCCAAGCCAGAAGCCGGAGTGGGGCTGGGGAGAAAGCAGCCCCCTGCCTGTGTCCCCGACCCCCAGGACCCCCCACCCAGGGCAGGTGAAGGGACCCAGACTCCCCACAGCTGCCCGTGCAGCTCTCCCCGGCCCGGCTGTGGCGGGGGGCAGGGGTGGGGGGCAGAGCCGCAGCCCGGCCATGATAGGAGCCGGGCGGGCAGCTGTGGGGAACTGGCGTAGCGTCGCAGACCCTCCACCTGCCCTGGGCCGGGTGGGGAGCCCGGGGAGCGGGGACCCAGGTTGGGGGCTCTCAGCCCCCCTGCACCATGGGCAAGGGGAGGGTCCGCGTGGTCCCACAACTGCCCAGGCTCCATGCCGGCTTGGCTGGGGGCTGGGGCCTCGGGGGGAAGAGGAGGAGAAAGAGGTGGGGTCCACCCCAGTGAAAAGTGGATGGGCCATGCACCCTCCCGGCCCCCCAGTTCCAGCACCTCTGGTCCCACCAATGTAAGTGCCCTATTACACCAATATAACACCACCACCCTAACTATACCGACATAAGCCCCATGGCTGTTGGATGGCGCTCTTGTCAATTTCACGGCTCCCTGCTGGAATTGTGAAACTGACAAGGACGCCAGGGTGGGTGGGGGGTTGTCCCCAGGGCCTCCTCACTCCCAGCGGGGAGCCCAGCTGCAGGGAGGCTCCCAGGAGGGAGGAGGGGACCTTGGTCGACTGAAGTTTCTAGCATAGACATGCCCTGCCCGCCTGGTCACCCCGCACCTCGGTGCTGAGAGACCGAGTCTGTTTGGAGTCCGTAGAGGATTCGAGCGCTTTGTTGCAAACTCTCCCGCTGTTTGGTCATTGGCTTCAATCCCCAGCTCTCAGAGTCACGTGATTATGAGCCGATCTCAACTAGCATTGACAATAAAAAAAACAACAACCCCCAAACTGGATGCTTCTCGTCCACCTGGCTGAGGAGAAAAGGTGGGAAACGGGACGTGAGGCCGAGTGCACAGAACCCGCAGTGGGCTGTATCTCTCATCTCACGATGTTGGGGGCCGCGTTGTGGGTTTTGGACACTGGGGGGGGCTGAAATGCTGGTGTCACAGGTCTAAAGTGACCGTCCCAGCCTGCAAGGGGGCAAAAGCGTCTGCCTTTGGGGGGGGGCACGGCACCCCCTGCTGGCTCCACGAGGTGCTGCAAACACAGAGTGCTTGAGCAACAAACCCAGAACTCTGGGGGAGCCCAAAGCCCCTTGGGGATCCCCAGCCTGAGCCCGCAGTTTGTTCTCACTGAACCCCAAGCAGGCCCACGTCTGGGTGCCGGAAGCTCCTTGCAGGGCATCCGGAAATGCAACCTCCCTCACTGACAATCTGAGACTCAAACTACCGGTACGGGGGGGCGCACAGGGGGACCACAGGGCCGTGCCCCTCCCCCTTTTTAACACAAGAAACATAAGAGCAGAATTCATGTCCCCCGCAGATTTTTCTTCCCCTCCCGCAGAATAATTGGTTGGGCCAGGGAGGCGCCGCAATGACACCTTTCGCCCACCAGGGGATGCTGCAGTGCCAGAAGAGAGCAGCTGACTCACCGCAGGAGCACCCACCCGCGGAGAGGGAGGGGCCACTTTGGCCTTGGCTTGGCCCCCCCCACACACACACTCACATACACACTTCTACAAAGGTCCCTTCACAATCTGCTGCCCCCAAACTCCTTCCAGACTCAGCCCGGACCTCCTGACATCCCACTCCACAAACACCAGCCTGGGGGCAGCTGT